AGCAATCCAACTGGCTTCAGCAATCCAACTGGCTTCCAACTTTAGAAGCAACTCTTGCATTGGATGAAGAGTCTGTCATGAGGGTAGGAGATGACTCAGTTGGGGGACCAGTAGTTTCTCGTCAGTTGATACTTATTAGAATATTGATGAGAGACCTCGTTGTCGATTAGGTTACACCATCAATTTTTGAGGTCTTTTCTTGTGGATAAAATTGGTAAACTCGATGTTATATGTGTTTGTATAGATATGAATTGGTAGAACAATGGAAACTCTTTGATCTAATTCTAATATGATGAAAGTTTTACACCAAAAATTCCTATCATTTACTTTTTTTACTGTATTACATGTGGTAGTATAGAAAGTGAGCATTAAAAGGCGTGTACTCTCTGTTTTTCATCATTTCTCCAACTATAAATCATCATTCAAATCTTTCATTTTTCTTCGTCTTCAATCTCTTATTCCTTATAGTTTTCTGTCTTACAAGATAAGCTAAAATCAAAATGAACTTGAGTTAGTCATTTAGTCTCCCAATTTCATTCACATTGTTGAAGTTAGATTATGGGTTGTGGGCCTTTTCTTTATAGTTTTTACTTTATTTTCCTAATATAGAGGCTCAAGTTATTTTATATAATATTATTTTTTATATAAATTAAACTATATAATTTATATAAATTAAACTATATTAATTTTCCTTTGTATTATTAATAATGTTTTATCTAATTTACATTTAAATAATTTTATTAATTTTATTAAATTATTTTATATAATAGTTCTATTTATTAATATAATTATCATAATAAATATTTTATTATAACATTTAAAAAATAATCATATTAATATTTTAATTACATCATAACTTAAAAACTTATAATTTTATTAAAATCTTATAATTTTGTCCATGGTAATATATAAGTCAGGTAAATATCAGATAAGATCATTAACAAGTCAGATTATTTACAGGTCAGGTTAAAAACAGAGGTTGAAAACAGGTCAGGTTGAAAACAGGTCGGGTAATACCAGTTATTTACCAGGTCAATCTCGGGTTCGGGTTCATATCAGTCGGATGCAGTTTGGGTATCATATTTTCGGTTCAATTCGGGTTCAGGTCGTTCTCAGCTCGGATGCAGGTCGGGTTCGGATCCATAATTTCCAGGTCCAAATCGGGTTCAGGTCAACATCAGTTCCGACTCGAGTCTGTTTCGGATCGCCACAGTGCAGGTCAAAAACAGTTTTGACTCGAGTCGGTTTCAGTCAGTTTTGCAGGTCGGGTCAGCTTTTTACAGCCTTATCCTTAGTGTCTTTCCGTTCAAATGTTGTTGATTTGACTTCAAAATGTATCCATTCAATAGAAAATTGTTCAAGACATTTCCTTTTGAAAAGATCTATGAAAGGATCCTTGTGAAAAGTCATGAATCTAGAATAAGTACTTTGAACCTCCTTGTCCTGAAAAAAAAAGACTTTTATAAGTAAGGGAAATATTAATCATTAGAAAGTTAGAGGTATACTCCCTGTTCGCATCTTTTGGATGGCCAAAAGTGATGTCTTTTGAATCACAAGATATGTTGCTTTGAACGATTATGTCCCCAAAAGTCATGTTCCTTGGTCCTCCAATAGGTGTATTCATTGAATCATGAAAGGTTATAACTCTTGGAATGAAAATGTCCTTATAATCCTCATAAGTCACATCCTTTGGTTGATAAAATGTCTCCCTTTTCCTTGCATCTCTTGGCTCTTTGAAGGTCACGTTCCCTAGCCTCCCAATTTGACAAGTTATGTCACTTAGAACATTCAAAAAATCAAAGAAAAAATCTACAATTTCATGGTTAGAATAATCGTCCTTGATCTTTCGTTTTATCCATAGGAATTCTCGAATGACCTTGCAATCACCAAGTGATAAGATAATACCATAGATATGAATCGAATTGCTGCAAAATAAATCAAAACATTTAAAGGAAAAACTATTGACAAGATGAATAGAAATATCAAACCAGGGTGGATGTTTAATGGGATTTGGTTGCTGAATTCTTTTCAGGATTGGCAATGCACTTTGAATGTCAACGAACACAACTCTTGGCACTTCAAGTGATGCTTCTTTTGGAACTTCAAATGGCATAACCTTTGAAATATCAAGAGACATGTTTTGTGAATTACCAAAATTTATGACTATTGGTTCTTCAAAAGTCGCATCTTTTAGTTTTTCAAAAGCCATGATTCTTGAATCATCTCCTTGAAAAGATACATCTCTTGAATTTCCCTACAAATCAAAAGAGAGAATAGGAGAAGAAGTATGGTTAGATTAAAATTGTTCTTCACTCTCCTCTTTTCCTCCAAATTCATTCTTTTCAATTCTCTTATTTCCAATGGTTTTTACGTCCTCTCTATTCATCTTTTCAACTCCAACATTTTGTTCAAATTCAAAATGCTTTTGTTCATTTGAATTTTTCTCCAAACATTCTTCAGTTGCATTGTCTTTAAGTTGTTCTTTCATTGCTTCAATGTTCTTCTTCAAGGTGTTTTGATCTTCATTTACTCGGCTATGAGCTAATGGAGTTAAGATGATTTTCCTCTCATTGTGTAAGAATGAATACCGATTTGTAAAGCCATCATAAACAGCCCGTTTGTCAAATTACCATGACCTCCCCAAAAGTAAATGACTCGTATTCATAGGCACCACATCACATAGGATCTCTTCTTTCTACCTTCCAAGTGAGAATGGCACAAGTACTTGTTCAGTGACCTTCAACTCTTCCTCGTCATTCAACCATTGCAAGTCATATAGGCTGGAATGTTTAATTGTCATAAGCCCCAATTTGTTCACCATGTATTTGCTTGCAATGTTTGTACAACTCCCTCTGTCAATAGCTACAAGAAACACTTTACCATTTACATGGCAACGAGTGTGAAATGTATTTGTTCTTTGTTGTTCGTCCTCCAAGGTTTGGAAAGATGAAAAATCACAAAACATTGTTTGTAAAAAATTAAACAAAAATTAAAACCTTACCAGCACACTCACAAGGCCTCACAAACTTCACTCGAAAGAAAAGATAAGATCACTCCACTCAACACTCGTGTTTACTCTCGGGAATATATCTTGGCTTTTAACAATTCCCCTTCTGATCTCACTCTCTCAATTTGCCTTTTTCCACTCAATTTCTCTAGCTAATTCCTTTGAAGAACTTACTCAAAATTAAAACAAGTTAATTCTCTACTTGTGTGCGTCAGCTACAAATAGGATTAGGGTAGAAAGGAATAGAAGAAATGGAAAGGTAGAAGAAAGGTTTTAAGGTATTAAAAAAAGAAATGGTTGAAGACAATGAAAATGAAGGTATAAAAAAGGAAGAGGTGACTTACAATTCAAGAAATAATACTTATTGCAACCTTTCTCAAGAAATAATAAGGTTATCTTCTCTTAGTGTAGATAAGCCTCTTTGATGTATTTGCAATAGTAGAGCACTTTCCTTGGCTTGCTTTATTTTTGACTTTTCTTATTTTTCTTTTCTTTTTGTCTGAATTTTTTCTTCTTTTTGTCTTTTCTTTTTGTACTCTAATTTTGTTGAATGAGTCTTTTTCTTTTGCTTTTCACACCAATGACACTTTTGTTGTTAATCCAACTATGCTCTGATTACTGCTTGATGTAAGGTGATCTACACACTTTAGGAGAAGAGAGTAGATAGCCTTATTGTGTCCCGATCTAGGATTGCCAAGTACTATTTTCTTTGAATTATAAGCTTGGGTTGCACATAAGAAAGAAAGAAATAAGATTAATATTGGAATAATAAATGGAATAATAAGATAAATGATGAAATGAAAGAAAATGGATATAGATGGCTGCGGAATTGATAGTTGTGGAATTGATAGTTACAGAATTGATAGTGTTTGATGATAAAGTTGATAGTGTTGATAATGAGAAGGAGATGGTAGTGGTGTGTTATCTCAAGCACGCCAAAGATGAAAAAAATGCTAAAGAGCACAATCCCTGTCTTCACAAACTTGCTTGAGGGGTGGTGACAGTGTCTTCAACCCACTAGATATCAATCTAGGAATTTTGGAATCAGGATGGAATGAATGATGCCACAAGTATATGAAGTATACTTGTTTAATCGATAAAGTTCACAAAGAACTTTGAAGAGAAATTAACTCACAAGAGTAATTTTATATATGAGATGAGATCCTTACAAATGATGGCAACCTCTCAATTTATAGGAAAAGAGAGGGTTGACCGAATAATTAGATGTCTATTTGTCTAAATACATGACTATTTGAAGGTGCATAATGCTTTGGACGAATGGAGATGCTCATTGGCCTTGGTGTTGGTTCGGTTACTTATTCGTGAAATGACTTGATGTTTCGGCTGAAATGAACATACATCTCCCTTGGTCGAATGGTTAGGTGATGTTTCAACCAAGTCTAGTGCATGTGCTAGGCATGTGGGGGCTGGTCGAATGGTCTTGTTATTTATCTCATGTCTCTTCATGATTTAGGCCTCCAATTGATGCAATATCTTCTCCAACGTGTGCCTTGATGAAAGGACTTCTTCATGGACAGCAACATTCATGAAATGTCACAATTGTTGGAAGGTAACCTTTCATGTTTGAGATAGTTCTAGGGTGAATGAGCTGGAGGTGAGCTGGCCATAGGTGAGTTGTAACATGATGAACATTATGGCAGCTCTTTGTGAAAAGGTACCTCTTGAGGTGGCAACCATTCGCGAAAAGGTATGATTTCACAAAATTTGACTTAGGACATATTTGAAGTGTCCTATGTGGTGATGATGATGGTGCAGCTCCCTAGCTGAATTGAAGTCATCTTGTAGCTCAAATCTTCAGCTCAATCCATCAATGAGCTCACAGGTCTCTGGATATCTTTTCACCAAATGTTCCTTATGCTCTCCTAAACGTCCCCATGTAAGTTTCCTTGTTGTTGCATGCCCTATTTAGCTTTGATATAGCTCCCAAGTTGTGTGATCGAATGTACCTTCACAAAGAAAAACACAATATAAGCCAAGTATTTAAAGAATAATGATGTGCATATTATAAAGATGTAGACTATAGGTTATAATAATAACTCATGCATCATATGATAATGAATGAATATTATTATTATAACTATAGATTATATTCTTGAATTTCAATCAATGATGCAAACCAAATGACATAATGAATGCACAAGTTATGATAATTCAAGTATAGTCTATTATGCCAATGTATGCTCATAGTAATATATAGTGCATAAATGAGTAAATATAATATAAAGTAAGGTAGAACTCCCTTAGATTGAGCTTTATGAATCTTCAATGATGTGAGTGTGTCATGAAGAAAGTTGGTGCTAGACATGATCACATCAAAAAGTCAAGTCGGACTTTTAATTTTCAAGTTTGACCATATGAATGTATGTATTTGGCTTAAAGGTATGATTTTTTTTGGGGGGTAAAATAAAGAGTGGACTCGTAATAAGTTGGGAGTTGCCCTGCCCTTTTATATCATCCTCAAACAGCCTGAGAAAGTCGAGGGAGGATTATAGTAACTAGTACATTCAACAACAAAACTTGCATCTAATGATGCCCATTCGATCTACAGTCATGTTTCCTGCCCTGTAAACATGTTGCACTCGGATGTTCCACTGCCGCTGCAACATCATCTTTAACGATTGCAAGGTCCCCAAGTGACTTTGTGTCAAGGCTGTGCTTCTAAGAACTTGAACTACAGCAAGATTGTCAAGCTCATGTATTACATTTTGAGCACCTATATCAATTTCATTAGTTAATCAATGCTTATGGTGTTTAATGTTTTATGTCATGCAGTGATGTACTTGCAAGCCAACCCAGGGGGCATTACTATATTTGAAAGGACAGTTGATTGGGGACTCGTCAACACAGTCTTTTTCATTGAACTTAGTTTGGTTACTTTCATACTTGGACAAACTATCGTCTTTAGCCCTGCCTAATAAAATCTTCAATCAAACAAATCATTTTTTCGGTGGATTATATACCCTTCAATTCCAAGTGAGTTTTCAGATTTATAGGCAATTGATTGTTCTCTTGGTTCATAGCATCACAAGTCATCGGCTAGCTCATGGTTTCCCTGTCGCTGTAAAAATGACTAGCTGGCTGTTGCATTTGGTAATTTGTTGGGAATAAATGGATGACGTAGAGATGAGGGAACCAACTGTGACGAGGTTGTTTGCCTGAAGGCTTTTGGAAATTTTGCATAATGCGACATTTGGAAGTCTGGTAAATTGTCACAGTCGGAGGAGATGAGTGGGGAAACGATGAGGAAAATGGTGAATTAGGGATTGAGATGCGAAAGAGAAATGAAAATGGGGAATTAGGGATTGAGGTGCGAGAGGGAAATGAAAATGGGGAATTAGGGATTTTAGCAAATTAGGGGCGAATGATATTACCTGATGAAGTGGATCAGCATGTGACTGGTTCAGGAGATGGTGGAGCAGGCCGGTATCTGATCCAAGAATAGTTAGCAACCCAGTCAGTCCAATGAAGAATGAGTAGCCCACGTATCCAAGTCCAATATCCTGCAAGAAGAGAATATGTTAGTTTGTTATAATGTGTTAAAAGGACAGCCAACTGGCATCCTTACAAATTACTATTCTATCCTTGTAACTAAATAATATAGGCTGTAAGAGGAAATTGATTCCATATGAAATGAATGAAGTACTTTTTCCTTCTCTAAATTCTCTCTTTTCTATTACCTCATTCTCGCATTCTTCCTATTTCTCTTAATCTATCACAAATTGGTATCGAGAGCCTCGGTTTCTGGCAAGTCAGTAGGCATGACCAAGAAAAATCAAAACATGGCTGAAGCTGATTTAGCTGGTTTACAGAAACAGATGGAAGAATGAACAGCTTTGGTGAAACAAGGTAAAGATGACTCTAATCCGCCTAAATGGTGGGAAACTCAAGAAAATGGAATCATGACATTGGAGTCAAGGATGAATACTAATCAAGGGTATGTGGAGGAACTGTTAAAAATTTTGACTGAAAGAAATGGTGAGCAGGAAAATTCTACTGGTGAACAGGTATAAACCCCTATTAACTCTAAACATGAAGGGAAAAATCCTATTTTGGTCACTGTAGTAAAGGATAAATCCAGATTTACCTATAAAACTGATGAACCTGGAATTCTAAAAGCTAAACCTGATGATTGTGTGGTCCTTAGAAATGAGAATCATATGGGGGAAACTAGTGAATCTAGACCTATTTTGTTGGGGTCTGAAGCTGAAAGAAGAGGTCCTAGGAGTTTTTTTATCAGTTCAGGGTCTATGTGGTATAGACCTAAAATTGATTTACCATTCTTCGAAGGGATCAATCCTAGGGGGTGTCTTCAAAAATGTCTCAAATATTTTTCTCTGTGTAATGTTCATACAGAACAGAGAGTAGAAGTAGCCACTATGTACTTAACTAGGAAAGCAGAGGTTTGGTTTGATGGATATATTATGCAGAAATACCATGTAACATGGCATGAATTTGAAGCAGATCTTTTTCATAGATTTAGTGACAAGTCTTTTTCTGATATAGTAAAAGAGTTTTCTAAGTTGACTCAGAACGAGACTGTTGAAGCTTATCAAGAAAAATGTGAGGAGCTATAACCTTATATGTTATTAAAAAATCCTTCACTAAATGAGGATTTCTTTGTGTCACTTTTTTATCAGTGGACTAAGGGAGGATATTAAACATAGAGTGGAGGCTCTAGATCCTAAAAAATTGTCTGAAGCATGCAAACAAGCTAAACTTTATGAATTATCTGTTGACTATGAAAATAGAAGATGGAGAAACCCTTTTAAAAACCCACCCTACCCTAATCCCATTGTTACTTCTAAACCAGCTTCACTACCAGTAATTACCAAGAACGCATCAGTTTCAAATCTTAAACAGAATCTCCTGGATTATAGAAGATAAAACAATCTTTTCTTCAAATATGGGGAGAAGTTTCTTCCAGGGCATCAGTCTAAGTCAAGGAATTTAAATATGATGATTGAGGAAGAATCTGTTGTTCCTACAGAAAATATTTCTATGGAATCATATCAGCAAATGATGCAGGAATAGGAGAACCTATAAATCTCTATTAATGCTATTATTGGCTGCATTAGCCATAATACATTAAGAATACAAGGGACCATTCAATGTAGACCACTCAGTATTTTAATTGACAGTAGGAGCACTCATAGTTTCCTCACTCCACAGTGGGCTGATTCTGGTATACAATTGTTGACCCCTTATCCTTTGGCCATTACAGTATCCAATGGACAACAACTTTATAGTTCAACAAGATGTAATCAGGTGGAGTGACAGATGCAAGGACATTCTTTTATACATGATTTCAGACTCCTGAAACTAGGTGGCAGTGATATGGTGTTGGGGGTGGATTGGATGAAACTATTTAGTCCTATTTTGATGGATTTTAATCAAATGACACTGAGTTTTGAACATCAAGGAGAAAATATTATTATGCAAGGTCAGCAACCATCTAATTTTCTGCAGCAAATTTATGGAGCTACAATATTGAAGATGACTACCTCAGATTCACCTATTTTGGGACATGTAGTTTTGCTGACTATGTCTGAAAATTCAAAACCTATTCCAACAGCTCTTCAACCTCTTTTAGAGAGGTATCAATCTATTTTTGCTGAGCCTACTGGTTTACCACCTACAAGGACTCGTGACCATGTTATTCCTTTAAAACCTAAATATACTCCTATTAATCTGAGACCTTACAGATTTCCACACAATCAGAAAGAATAAGTGGAAAAACAGATTGCTAGTATGCTTTCATCCTCTATTATTCAGCCTAGAAAGAGTCCATTTTCTTCTCCATGCCTTCTTATCAAAAAGAAGTATGGGACTTGGAGATTCTGTGTGGATTACAGGAAACTAAATAGCATGACTATGAAGGATAAATTTCATATACCTGTGGTTGAAGACCTATTAGATGAACTACATTGAGCAGTTTATTTCTCAAAGATTGATCTCAGATCTGGGTATTGGCAAATCAGAATTAAGTTTGAGGACATATACAAGACAGCTTTTAGAACTCATCAAGGCCATTATGAATTTAAGGTAATGTCTTTTGGGCTTACTAATGCCCCTGCTACATTTCAAGCTTTAATGAATGAATTGTTTAGTTCATTCCTTAGAAAATTTGTCTTGGTATTTTTTGATGATATCTTAGTCTATAGTACTTCTATGAATGATCATGTCACTCATTTACAACTGGTTTTAGAAGTACTGCAAAAGAATAAGTTATTTGCCAAGCTATCCAAATGCTTCTTTAGACAGAATCAAGTATAATACTTGGGCCATATTATTTCAGCTGCTGGACTATCTACTGATCCTAAGAAGCTTAAAGCTATGAGGAATTGGCCAGTGCCTAAATCATTAAAGTCTTTGCGTGGATTTTTGGGATTAATAGGCTATTACAGAAGATTTATTAAGGATTATGGTTCAATCAGTAAACCTCTCACTCATATGCTTAAAAATGATAGTTTCAAGTGGACTGATGCAGCTTTGACTTCTTTTGAAGAATTGAAGAAGGCTATGTGTGTTGCTCCTGTTTTAGCCTTACCAGATTTTGGTAAGAGCTTTTATTTAGAGACAGATGCCAGTTCAGGTGGCATTGGTGCAGTTTTATCTCAGGATGGTAGACCTATTGCCTATTTAAGTAAGGCTCTAAGTCCTAGACATGCAACACTCTCTATTTATCAAAGAGAGTATCTTGCTATACTTTTGGCAGTCTCTAAGTGGAGGCATTACTTAGAGAGTAAATCTTTTGTGATTAAAACAAATCATGAACCATTAAAATATCTATTGGAACAGAAATTGACTACTGACATTCAAAAGAAGGGCTTAACCAAGTTATTGGGGCTGGATTACACTATTCAGTACAGAAAGGGCAAGTCAAATATTATTGCTGATGTTTTATCTAGGCAGTGGGAAGATCAAGGTTAGTGTCTTGCTATGGGCACTACCCTAATTATTCCTAGTTGGGTTCAAGAAGTGGAAGGAAG